TTCTTCTCTCTCTCTCTCTCTCTCTATATATATATATATATATATATATATATATATATGTATTTGTGTTTGTAATTGATTGGTCTTAGATCACATACTATGATAAATTAGATGTTTGTATTAATGGTAAACTATAGCATGTCATCGTCTGTGAAACTTGCTCACCTGGTAGTTAACATTTTGTGGTTTTACTTAATGCAGGCAAATACCTTTGCTTCCTGCTTTCGAATCTGTTGAAACACGGGCCTTGGCAGAGAGTTTAAGTAGGTAAGTCCAAAAACATTTGGAGTAAACTCATACATATCGAGCCCTTGTAACTGTCTTAATGCAAACACCTGGTCAGAGGGCGCTTATTTACTCTCATGAGTCATAGTTCCCATATTTTATTATTGAACTGTTCTCTCATGTTTTATTATACAGGGATATTATTCGTGGGAGCCCAGATGTAAAATGGGAAAGCATCAAGGGTTTAGAGAAATGCAAACGCCTTCTAAAAGAAGCAGTTGTGATGCCAATTAAGTATCCAAAGTATGCGAGTATGTTGATTATGTTGATGTTTTCTTAGGTGTGCCTTAGTATTGATCATTCTCGCCCCAAATGTACTTCAGCATATTGGGTGTTTTCATTCTCCTAGAGAAGTTGGCACGCCAAAGATAATATGTAGAGGTTATAGGGCTTTATTTATATTTTTCATATTTTCATATTGTTGATGTGTAAGTAGACCAGTCGGACTTTTTCGTTGGATTTTGTATTTGTAACTACTACATGGTGTTGTATTTGTTCTTTAGGTACTTCACCGGTCTTTTATCACCTTGGAAAGGGATTCTGCTTTTTGGGCCTCCAGGAACCGGAAAGGTGTGCATTATTTGTTGTAATTCAATGAATCAACTTTTATTATTTTCAATATATGAAGTGTGAGACATGACATTCATAGTCTTGTTCCATATATTTGTAATTTTTTATGTAATATAATAACTTCTTTATATGTCCTTGGCCTTAGCAGTTTTATGCTTCACTCATAGTGCGTAATTTGTATAACTCCTGTTGTTGTACACAATTTATCGAGTCAGGAACACAACTTCGTCCTACTCTTTTGAATTTCTCACCTTTGATTCAACCTCCTTATGTTTCACCCCACTGATAAATTTCAATTCTTTGGAGGTTTCTCTGTCAGAGGGTGATGTATGCGCAGTATGCCTTAGATGCAACTTTTGAGCTTCTTAGTGTTTCCTCTTTTGGATCCATGTAGAGGGACATTCTAGAATAGGCAACTTGCGTTCATTATTAGGAGATTGAACTAGAGAGGTCCCTTCCATAGTTCTTGGGATCTGGAGCAGGATCGGAAGCGTCGGATCATGGATGGTTAGAAGACACCTATGGTTTGGAGCGCTATCCGTACAATGCATATGTTAGGGATCGAGATCCCCAAATATTAGGGATCGAGATTCCAAACATTTTGGGGATCTCGATCCCAACCTTTTGGGGTTCATGCTTCCAATCTTAAAGAGTATATATAGTTTAGGATTATACATACTTTTTAAAGTAGGGATCTCTTTATTTATAACCAGCTAGCGATGCAATTATACTAAAAAGTATAGCTGCATCGCAGGCTTATAAATAAAAAAGTCATCAATTTGTCGTTATGTTGGTCTTTAAGGTGGGGATAGAGATCCTAAGTATAGAAGTACTGCATTACTGGTAATAAGGTTTGTGTTGTATCCCTTCTTTGTCCTTAAAAATGCAAAAATGATGGAGGCTCCCAATGGCATTCCCTGCTTTAATGTAACTGGTCACTTTGGTAATCCGTTAGTTCAAATTATACAGCCCCTGAATAGGTAGGTTACTCCATAACCAATAGGATATCAAATTTCTCAATGGAGCTTGGTATAGGCCCTTATCATCAAGAAACAGCTGATTTTTTAATCAAGGGAACTTTTAATTTGTATGAGAAATTCAGGTTTTAGATGCGACTAGGCGAACCAGTTTCGAGCAAATTCTAAATTCTATTAATAAAGGAGACCTGAAGAATCCTCCATTGATCAAATACATGTCTATTGCCAGCCTTTTGAAACGATATCTAGTTTCAACTTTCCTATCCTTAAAGAAGATAACACTATCAGGCGAACAAGGAATCACCAGATATTCGGGTTCATATACATCTTTGCTCTGGATTGAGCATAGTAACTACTTGGAGGATTATTTTACATCATGCCGTACTGTTGTCAGTCCAGTGTGTTCAATTAGTTTCCTTGTCAGTAACTATTTTCTGAGACTAACCTTTTCTTTTTGACTTTTATTAACTCCACACATGCTTCCACTTGCTGTTGTACTCTATTTATTTGTGACATAAGCATTCTCCTTGTTTTTTTTTTTTTGGGGACCTTCCTATCCATGGCAAATGGAATCAATATGGTTTAGATCTGCACCATATGATGTGCTTTATCTTCTCAGGAAATTGAAATGTTTGCCCACCTGGCTGATGGTTTTGCATTCATGTTTGCTCTGTGTCTTTAATGTAGACTAAGATATTTAATGGAGGTCAATGATTTTGTCTGGATTAATACTGTATTAAATGATTGCTGGGTGGCATCATGAGATTTAATTCGGTTTTGTTTTTCTAGTTACCCATTCGTAAAGCCCCTGATTCCTATTTATGTATGGTATTTGAGGCGTAATTCAATCTTCCAAGTGGCCAAATCTTTGTTATTGCAGACTATGCTTGCAAAAGCTGTTGCAACAGAATGCAAGACTACTTTTTTCAACATCTCTGCTTCATCTGTTGTCAGTAAATGGCGTGGTATGATTTCTTTATTATTTGTTATAAAGGTGGTGCCAAATATTTCATATGGTTAACATTCTGAATGTCAGTTCTCTATGATGTTGTTGGTGACCTCAAGAACTTCATTTATGGCGTGAATGTGCAAGTGCGCCTCTTAGCTCTAAAAATGACAAGCAGTTGAGACGAATCGTGCGCTACCTTTTGCCTTTCCATGTGCTTGCATATGTATTTTATATTTAAAATCAATTGGAGTTGTTTTGCATGAATGAAGCTAGTCAGTACATTTACAAAGTGAAGAAAATCCGTATAGTTTTTAAACAGAACTTTGACATGGACATGAAGCAAACTCCTTTAGGGCCTGTTTGGGTGCATGGATTTTAAGGCATGGATTCTTAATATCTTGGATATTGACAAAATCCAACATTTGGATTGTTTAATGACTAGGATACTTAAAATCAAGAAAATCAATATCATGGAAATAAGACCTACTTTTCCATGATTTCATTCCCTGTTTTTTTGCATTTCCAAGGCCAATGGATTTCACTCATTGGCTCCCTCGACCCGAAACATAGGGAGCATTTGATAGGTATGAAAATTTTAGAGAGAGAAAGGATCTAAATTTTTTAAAGAGAGAAACTATCTTAAAATTTTTAGAGAGAAAAACTATCTCAAATTTTAACTTTTAGAGAGAGAAAGTATGTTAAAATTTTAGAAAGAAAGTATGTTAAAATTTTAGAGAGAGAAAATACCAATTTTTTTAGAGAGATAAACTATCTCAAAATTTTAGAGAGAGAAACTATCTCAAATTTTAACTTTAGAGAGAAAGTATGTTAAATTTGTAGAGAGAGAAAGTATGTTAAAATTTTAGAGAGGGAAAGTACGAAATTGTTTTAGAGAGAAATTATCTCAAAATTTTAGAGAGAGAAATTATCTCAAAGTTTTAGTTTTAGAGAGAAAATATCATATTTTAGAGAGAGAAAGTACATACAAATTTTTAGAGAGAGAAACTATCTCAATTTTTTAGAGAAACTATTTCAAATTTTTTAGAGAGAAACAATCTCATTTTAATTTTTAGAGAGAGAAACTATATCAAATTTTAGAGAGAATACCTAAAAAGTTTTAGAAATAGAAACTATCTCAAATTTTTTTAGAGAAAAACTATATCAAATCATAAGTTTTAGATAGAGAAAGTATTTTTAAAATTGTGGAGAGAGAAAGTATTTCTAAACTTTTAGAGAGAAACTATTATAAATTTTAGAAAGAGAAACGGCCAAATTTTTTTTTAGAGAGCGAAATATCTCATTTTTTTAGAGAGAGAAACTATCTCGAATTTTGAGTTATAGAGAGAAACTATCTCGAATTTTAAATTTTAAAAAGAGAAAATATATTTAAATTTTAGAAATAGAAATTATATCAAATTTAGAGAGAGAAACTACCTTAAAAATTTTTAAAGATAGAACCTATCTCAAAATTTTTGGAGAGAGCAACTATTGCAAAATTTATGTTTTAGAGTGAGAAAGTATATTAAAATTTTAGAGATAAACTATATCAAATTTTAAATAGAGAAAGTACATGAATTTTGTAGAGAGAGAAACTATCTAAAAAAATTTAGAGGGAGCAACTATTTCAAAATTTAAGTTTTAGAGAGAGAAAGTATCTCAAATTTTAAACTTTAGAGAGAAAGATTATCAAAGTTTAGAGAGACACTATATCAAATTTTAAAGAGAAACTATTTCAAAATTTTAGAGAGAGAAACTATCTCAAACTTGAAGTTTTAGAGAGAGAAAGCATCTTAAAATTTAAGAGAGTAACTATATCAAATTTAGAGAGAGAAAGACAAATTGTTTTAGAAAAAGAAACTATCACAATTTTTAGAGAGAAATTCTATCAAATTTTAGCTTTCAGAAAGAGAAAGTATCTTAAACTCTGAGAGAGAAACTATATCATATTTTAGAGAGAGAAACTACTTAAAAATGTTTAGAGGGGGAAACTATATCAAAATTATTAAAGAGGGGAATTATCTCAAGTTTTAAGTTTTAGAGATAGAGTATCTTAAAATTTTAGAAAGAGAAATTATATGAAATTTTAGAGAGAGTAAAACACCTAAAAATGTTAGAGAGAAATTATCTTAAAATTTTTAGATAGACAATTTCAAATTTTAAATTTTGGATAGAAAGTATATTAAATTTTAGGGAGACAAGCCATATCAAATTTTAGAGAGAGAATCTATCTCAAAATTTTTATAGATACACCATCCCAAATTTTGAGTTCTAGAGAGAGAAAGTATATAAAAATTTTAGAGAGAGAAATTGTATCAAGTTTTGCTACCAAACAATGGACATGGAAGTGATTGCAAGGAATCCATGAATTTTGTATAGTTTATCCAAACAAGAGATTTGAGGAATCCATGACAAAAATCCTTGATATTGAAAATCCATAGATTTCTTTGGATTTCAAATATTTAAGATTCCTAATTTCCTCCTATCCAAACGGGTCTTAAGAGAACTTTGGTTTTCAGGGAGCACAAAACCATTACTTCTCATAGAACTTTCATTTTTTCATACACTAGGAGACATTTCAAAGGATTCTTGCATTTCATACTGTTGCAAGGGTAGTTTTAGATAGCGTGAGGATTGAAAGTGGTTTATGACATGCTCAGTCAATAAAACTTGCTTCCAAATCTGGAGTGGACTCATTATTGAGCTGGTTGACCCTTTTGTACCTGGTTTATGTTCAAGCAATTCTATGTGGTCACAGTGAATTAGTTAGAAGCGGAGTTTTGGTTTCCCAAGACATTGCGTTGAAGAAACTACTAGCAACTTCAAAGAAAGTTTACTTTCAACCTGGGGGTACTCTGGAGACATTAAAGTACGAGAAAGAGAATGAAGTTCGCTCATTACAACACCTTGCAAACATGCCCTAATGAGCGTTTGTTGTTGATCTTGTGCTCGGATAAATAGAAATAAATAATGTATCTCCGAATGAAGCGAGACAAGAAATTTATGAAGAGGGGGTTTATCCATGAAGCTTTTCTTTGATATCCTCATTTGTTTTGTTGACTTGTATTTATGCACTGCCCTATGATTGTAGATTCAATTTTTGGAAATATATGTGCAACAATTTTTATCCTTCTAAATTAATGGAAGTTGATGATGCTTTTTGCTATTAAGATGGAAATATTGTTTTGTGAATTCTCATTGCCATTTACCTTAGTTTATTCCATTCAATTTGGGATCATCTATAAAAAGAAATTCAGTTTTTTCCCCTGGGGAATGACTAAATGAATTTTGGTTCAATTTGATATAATCTTGGTTCCTTCATAATTGCTTACAGGTGATTCAGAAAAGTTGATCAAAGTATTATTTGAGCTTGCTAGGCATCACGCACCATCAACCATATTTCTTGATGAGATCGATGCGATAATAAGTCAGCGCGGTGAAGGACGAAGTGAACATGAAGCTAGTAGGCGCTTGAAAACAGAGTTACTCATACAAGTAAGTTTAGGTTGTTTTTATCATTGTTTCTGTTTAGAACAATTTGAGTTTTGCAAATCTTTGGTAGCCAAACTGTAGGGTGTCTTGATGCAGATTCAAATCAGCTTGTCATTTCAGCCGTGGTCGATATTTAATAATCATATATATTTCCTAGTTTAACCATTTTTCTACTCCAAAGCAATCACTTCACCTTATGAGTTCTCATTTAAAACTTTGCATGCATGTCTCTTTAATGTTCTGTTTGTATGTAGTTCTTTGTTCAACAAAATTATTTCTGATGTAATAACATGGTAATATTGATTCCATGGAGAATCGCAGTGTCTGGCCTTTTATGGACCTTATGGAAAGAGAGAAATCATAGAATCTTCCAAGGTAAGATAAAAACCCTTGATTCTCTCATGAGATCCTTAGAACCTCTATTATTTGCTGGGCCAAGAACAGTAAGTTCTTTAAGCATGCCTCTTACTCGGACTTCCGCCAATGCTGGCAGACCCTCATCTCTTGCTGCCCCACTAGAGTTCCTCCTCCTCCTTTTGATGACCCCCCAATCCTGACCAAATCAAACTGAACTTGGATGGCTGCTCTTTGGGCAACCCAGGACCGTCAGGGGTCGGAGGCCTATTTAGAGATTCCGTGGGGCACATAGTGCACTCCTACTCCAAACACATTGGTGTCACGGACTTGACTGCAGCTGAGGTCATCACACTCCTTGAAGGCCTTAGAGCCTTCATCCCAGCCTGGAAACCTTCCCTCATCATAGAAGGGGACAACAGGAACGTAATTGAGTGGGCTTCAGGAGCGGCACCTAGCCCTTGGAGACTACAGTACCTTTTCGATGAGATCTCCCATCTCTGTGCAGCCTATCAAGTCTCATGGAGACACATACATTGGGAAGCCAACTCCGATGTTGACACACTAGCAAGAGCTTCCTCGCCCTCTTTTTTTCTCACCAGAGCTTGATGTTCTCTCCCAGCTCTTTTTCGTTTACTTTTGCTCTTATTTTTCCTATATTGTTCATGAGAAATATTTTTTGGTAGCCCCTTCAGAGGAACACATTTTTTGGACCTGTGAGGTTTTTGTATAGGGCCCTACTTGTCTTGGGGCCTCTTGCTCTTATTCGCTGTACTCTTTTCTCTTATACTCAACCCAAAAGTTAACATTCTCAAAAAATTTACATTCATTAGGTTCATTTATATTTCGATAACTTCAAGTGCATCGCAAGACCTATCTTAGAGATGAACTTCACATGCCCATTTGTTTCATCATGTTTTCTTATATGAGAAACATGTCTAATGATAATGGATTCATTGTATGGCCATTAATATGCCCCATTTCCTTTATAGTAATGAAATGGAGACCATGTATGCCATGGTTGGAATTTTAATGTCCTGAGATAAGTTCTCAGACTGTTTTGAAGTTAATGTCCTGATGACTGTTTTGAGATGGCAAGACAATAAATGATAGAATCTGTAATGAATATATTTGAATGAATTTAGATGTAGCTTCAATAGGTGATAGGACGAGGGAAAGTAGAGTTGGTGGGCTGGCCATGTGCCCTGTAGACCTAATACAACACCGGTTAAGAGGTGCGATTTAGTTCAAGTAGAAGGCTCTGAAAGGGCAAGGGGAAGACCCTAAAAGACAGACGGAAGTAGTGAGAAAAGATGTGGTTTCATATGGTCTTACTGAGGGTATGGCCCTTGATAGAGCAGAATGGCGGAACAAGATTCGTGTAGCGGGCCCCAAATATTTCTTAGTTCCAATTTAGGTTTCAGTCTACCAAATGACCATTCCTTGGTGGTCAGGCTTGAGTTTGCTGAGATCTCAACACTCAGCATCAGTGCTTCACCATAATTACTTCAATTATGTTTATTGCATCCCTGCTTGCACTTTGACTTTCTTCAATGCCATCTACTTGCTCAGCTTCCTTTCTTCCTCTATTACCTCTTCTGATCTCTACCATGCGCGTAGCTGCTTTCCAAGCTCTTAGATATCTTGGCTTTTGAACGAAGTTGATCATTCAGCCACTTTCAAGGAATTATATATTGTGACCATTTCCTTGGAATCAAGCTCCTTTTCTTTTCTGAAATTTGAAGGACTCCTTTGTTTAATTGCAGATGGATGGTTTGACAAAGACAGATGAGCTGGTGTTTGTTTTGGCAGCCACAAATTTGCCATGGGAGTTGGATGCTGCCATGCTCCGGCGTCTTGAAAAACGTGTATCCTTGTTTGTGCAACCATATTGATTTTATTTCTATAAGCTTAATGAGTATAACCTTCAATTGCTCAATGCTGATAGCTCTCATTCTTCCTGACAGGTATATTTCTCCTTTATTGTTTTCAAGGTTACTCTTTCATTCTTCTGTCATTTAAAAAGCACAGACACACACACACATGCACACACGGAGGCATACATAGGGGCAGAGAGTGAGAGTTGCTATGACCTTGACATTCCTTAAAGATTCTTGTTCCTCTCCCTGAACCTGAAGCAAGAAGATCGATGTTTGAGGAACTCTTGCCCTCATCACAGGGAGTGGAGCTACCTTATGAGATATTGGTGGAGAAAACAGAAGGTTATTCTGGTTCTGATATCCGTCTTGTGTGCAAGGAGGCAGCAATGCAGCCCCTTAGACGATTAGTGGCTATTCTTGAGGAGAAGGGTGATGCGCCCGAAGAAGGTAATTTTTTTCCCTTTTTTGTTATTCTCCTACTTTTTGTCATGGTTTTCTTAAACCTTCTGAATAGACAGGCCAGGTTTGAGGATATACTACCAATATGAACAGTTTAGCCTAAATAACACACAAACACTTATATTGAGGGAATACATAACATTGTACATTTAGAGTGTTATGCATGACCATTGTAATATCAATATAAAACCAAGTTTCCTGTTAACTCTTAAAAAGAGCTTGCTAATTCTGTTTTTCTTGGTATAAAGTAAGTCTGCCTATTTAGGGTGTGATGGCAATTCAGTTTTGTCAGAAAATAATTGATCTCTAAAATGGGTAGCCTTCCCCATCATCAAATAAACATAGATTTAATATTTTGCAGCTTCTTTATTTTGTAGAGTGTGAGGGGTACCCCAACCCAATAGCCCCTAACTTTAACTAATATCTCTTTATTCAAAAGCTTTACGAGCTTTACATGCAGTGGTAGATTCTTTAGGCTGTCCGCTTTTGAGTATATTGATTCAAACTTTACGTGAAATATTTGTCAGAAACTAATGAAAATCATAATTAGAAAATTTTCGATAAACTTCTTAGGACCCATATCGGAAATATCGCTAAAATAATCCATTTAGAAAGTAAGAAGAAATGTTTATTGTATTGCAGAGTTGCCAGGTGTTTGTCCAGTGAGACCAGAGGATGTAGAAACTGCTCTAAGAAACACAAGACCATCTGCTCATCTTGATGCAAACAGATACGACAAGTTCAATGCGGACTATGGAAGCCAAATTCTTCATTGACAATCCCAGCACCCCGACGGTTTTGTAAATTTTGTACCTTTGTATTTATTTTCTGTGGATTTCTCGGCCGTGGCTTGTTACTATATTGGAAGACTAAAGGTGTAATTTCTTTGGGGTCTCAACCCCATTCCATAGAGTCTTATGAACTTTCGGTTAGGATATTGATAAAGTGAAAAAAGCACAAAGAAACTATACTCAGGGCTAAGGTTTTTATTTTCTTTTTGGTGTAGCATAACCGTTAATTCCGATTTTAAGAGGCTGGATACATGCCCTGCTTTCCCATGGGTCGATAAATTCTTTTTTTTGGGAGCTGTACGAAATATGTGGCCTTGTGCGCTACTTCATTATCATCCTTACTGATAAAATTTCATTTGTGCATGGCATACTTGGTAAAGTTACAATATAAAATTTCATTTGTGCATGGCATACTTGGTAAAGTTACAATATATTTTGAACGTGGTAAGGCTACAATGTGTGCGAGAATCCATGTGCATTTGTGGCATATGACATGCGTGGAATCCAATTGGTTTTGATATTAACTGTTCAAAAAAAAGAACAAAGGATTTGATATGATATGGGGGCAATTGTGCATGACACATGATATGTAGGTCTGTCAAACGGGTTGGGTCCATCGGCGGACCCAAAGGGTCAACCTGACTCAAGTCTATTACTCTCTCCCGAAGTTGATTTGAATTATTTTGAAAAAAATACTATTACTCTCTCTATGTGTGTTCAAATAGTCGCAGGCTCACAAGTTAAATATAGTCTATAATAATTTATAGTGTAGTAATATAGTGTAAAAATTGTATACTCTGTGGATTTGTTATATAATATAGTTGTAAGTTACACAAGTTATAGGATGGATATGCTTACAATAAAGAATGAGTTTCGATGTGACATGTAGTATCCAATGTTTTAAAACCTGGATCAGTGGATGGATCGTCCACCCCATAAATAGTGTGGGGGATTATTAATTTTGACTATTGTTTTCTCTCTCTATACCTATGTTGTTTTACTTTAGGAAAATATGATGCAAATAGCAATCCAACAAACACATAATTTAAATTTATAAGTATGCAAGGCATATGAACTTGCCACACCTTTTGCATGTTGGACTCTTGATTTGGAATTATATACTATTAATATGAAAAGACTTTGGAATAACATTCTTCTATTGTGATAAATTTTTATTTTTCTTTTTGTTTGTGAAATAAAAGCCTTTCAATCATCTCTCTACATAACTTAGAGCTAATTTGTGAGGCTAAATTGAAATATCGGAAAAGTAAGGAAAATGTTTGTTTAACAAACTAGAAACATCGGTGATTAAATTGGAAGAAAAAATATGTTAAGACATTGAGGAGGCTAAAAATGTCTATAAATTTTATGTGTTTTTTTATTAGCATAGTTTTTTTTTTTGTGTTTATTACTTGTTATTTCGATTATATTTTATTTTTGTTATTGAATGTATTATTTTTTATTTTGATCATGTTGCATTATTTGTCTTCTTCCTTATCATTGAATCTATTATTTTTTAATTTGATTATATTGTATTATTTATCTCCTTCGTTACTCAATTATGCAAAACCACCCTGTGACCTCGCTACAAATCCCAAGTTCAAGACTATACAATTACCCTCCCACGAAGGTCCACGGTAAGATGGTCTAGCTTTCAAAAAATTCCCCTCTCCATAGTTGATCATTATACAGTTGACAACCGCTTGAGAGTTGACCAGAGATTCTGTAAACCATTTACATCATAGTTGATCATTGCACAGTTGCCAACCTCTTGAGACTTGATCAGAGATTTCTGTAAACCAGATACATTGCACAGTTGCCAACCAGAGATTCTATAAACCAAGACTTGAACAGAGATTCTATAAACCAGTTACCTCCTGAGACCAGAGATTCTGTAAAGCAGTTACAAATAAACCAATTACAAAGACATTCTGTAAACCAATTACAAATCCCAAATTTTTTGATTTTTCTATTACCCATCCTTATATAGGAATCAAGAACCTCAAAAAATGTGCAACACACTCCCGAGATGGAAAATGGTCTCACATTCAAAAAAAATCTTTTGGAAATTGGTCTCACATTAAAAAAAAATCTATTGATGAGATCCTCAGACCCAAACGATTTACACCGTTAATAATATAGAAAGGTATATTAGATTAAAGTAGTACTACCAATTTACCAAACTTCATGTGTGGCATGGCGATGAAACAATGCATACAAGGCTAAATTTCATGGCGATGCAGCAATGCATGCAAGGCTAAATTTTGGATTCAATATGGATTCATGAGGACTTTATTTGGAACTACATGTGGATCTAGAACTTACAACCTTGTAAAATGTAAAGTTTATGTAAATTTTTTAGGACTTTATTTGGAACTGGATATAGTACTTACAAGCTTGTCAAATATAAAGTTTTTACACTCTTAGGGTCGCACAGTCCATTTACTCCTTTTCGGTAGAATCCAATGGAGTAATTTTATGACCTCAATTTTGGGATGTAACATCTCGAACTAGTTAACCTTTTAATAATAATAATAAAAAATAAAAAATAAAAAATAAAATAAAAAAAATGAAAAATTCAAAAAAGGAAGAGCATCCTAATATTGAAAAAACTGTTGAATTTATGGTGGGTGAAATATAAGTTTTGAAGAACTCAAAATCTAAACGTTTGCTAAAAAAGTAATCATCTAATAATTTGTTAAATAGATCCCATAATTTTATAATAAAAAGATCTTCTCAATAAGCTCTTTGGCCATAAGAAGTAATTATACTCCTGAGGAAGCACAGAATATGCACTCATATGACTGACTTTAGTTGCATTTTATCACACACACACATATATATATATATATATATATATATATTTTGACACTCTTGCTTTTTATTACCTGTATTCCCGAGTAATGAAAGCCATGGATTTCACAGAGGGGAGTATGGTGCATAGGTGGTGGATGCTCCAGTCATGCGGTTGTACGCTTTCATTTCAGCTTCCATCATAAAAAGGTGTCACTTGTTAAATTTTTTTTGTTTTGTTTTTAATCATTAACAAGAATAGTGGTAGTAGCTTTTTTGATCGTTAACAAGAATAGCGGTAGTAGGTAGATGTTCAAGTCATGCGGTTGTACACTAGAAAAACGTATCCTTGTTAATTTTTTTTTATTTTTTTATTTTTTAATCGTTAACAAGAATAATGGTAATAGCTAGATTTTCATAGCACTATGTCTCAAATTCCATTTTTCTATGTAACTTTATAAAAAAAGCATAATGGGAATGGGGTTAAGGCGGTCGGGGCTGATGTAAATCAGAACCATTCCGTGGCAAGGCCTGGAGTTTCCTCACCTCAAAGTAAATCAAAACCATTCCAGTTTCTTTAGCTCAAAGCAATAGAACCATTCCTTGGCAAGGTCGGGAGTTTCTCACCTCAAAGTAAATCAAAACCATTCCAATACACACGTGCTTCGTTGCGGTCATCTAATCAAAACCATTTTTTGATGAGGACGGAATTTTATGAAAGAAAGACTAATTTGATCTTTTGTCGGATAAATATAATTTTTTTTAAAAATAATAATAACTCTTTATTTTTTTGGCAACAAGATCACTCACAGATGATCTTATTACAAACAATAGAAATCCCAAAATAAATAACACATAAATAAAATAAATTTCAACTACTTGATGCCATTGATACAACCTAACACTATGCTTGAGAATATGAAATAAAAAACAAGTATAAGATAAAGTTGCCGGAGATTACTTCAACCGGGCTTCTTACACCCCACACAGAGTCACCACATCCAATGGCACGGGATCTGCAGTCTAGCTTCAATCTCGAATCGGGAAAGATGATTTCAGCCAAACTATGTAACCACTCTTAATTCTTCACCAAACCCTAACTTTAAAAAATAACTTAGGCTTCCCTCTAATTTCTAGAACCCTTAGTTTCTTTTTAAGTCTAGGGAGAAAAATAGTAGCTAGAGTTGGAGCGTGGTCCTCCCTTTCAAACTTTGGGATAGAGAGGGTTAGAGAGAGAAACTCAGAGGAGAGAGAGTGGGGTGTGCCCTTC